AGTCCGTCATTTCGATCTACCTAACGGTCGGTCGGGGTTAGTAAAGGACTTGAGACGTCCGGGACAGTTAGTTGACCTAGCGTTCTACCTATAGTTGAAAGCCTAAAGTAAAGAAGAAGGATTAAGAGCTTACCGAGTGGAGGGAGATTGAAGCTTGAAGTTCGAAGTTTGCTTGCTCGACTGCCTTGCTAAGGTGCTCTGCTCGGGACTCTCCGAGGGTACCGATGGATGCGCAAGAGTGAGGAAAGTTCAAATGTGGGCCTCAAAGGCCTATTTATAGGAGAGCATTTAGGCGGGAAAATGAATCCACTTGCGTGACACGACTGGCGCTGAATCCGAGGCGACGGTTGCAGTCGCAGTGGCCGACACGTGGCGAGGAGGGGAATGACAGCTGGCCGGTCGGTCTAATGCCTGACGGTTGGGCTTCTTCATCCCGTCCCGTTTTTTCCCGACTGATCAAAAAGGCCCGGGCTGGGGGGCTTTTGGTAGGGAATATCCCGACCGACATAAGCTTCGCCACGACCGACTTGCCTTTGTCTTTCTTTTTTTGATCCTTGCAGGTAGCAGGTCGGGCTTTTTTCATAGAGATCCCGGTCGGGAACGGCCGGAAGTTGCTCGAACGCTGGTGTCGACCACCGAAGCGGTAGCCCTTCGACGAAAGAGCTGGCACAAGGACGCGAAAGGACGCGTGGCGGCTCTTCATGGCGACAGACAGGGCACCCGGGAAGATGACACGTGGTGGCTACGTGGAAGACATGCCGAGCAGCCGGAATCTTGTCCCCGGCACAGCGGCTATAAATGCCCACAGTAGCTACAGTGTAGAGGACTTTTGGACGATCGATAGGTTGTTGTTAGAGAATCCCGACCGCACTCAGTCGGTACTCAGAGCAACCAAGTAGATTGTACTTAGGGCCTTTACCGTGATCAATAAAGATTTTACTTGCTTTAATTGGTCTCGTGTTATTTTATATTGCTTACATATAATTAGCAGTATCATAGCTGTTTGCTGTTAGCTGATTGTGTTAATTAAAGGGTATAAATAGTTGATAACATTAAATGATTGTAGAAAAGTGTTTGGTAAATTAGCTGTTAGCTGATAGCTGTGGTATAATTTCTTTTCTCAAAAAGTTAATTGAAAAAGTTACTTGGAGTAGCTTTTTGAATTTCAGCCTTTTGGAGTTGCAAAAAGCTAATTAACCAAACATTTCTATTGATATTTTAACTAAATCAAATAATTAATAGTGGTCAAATAAGTTAAAATTGGTCTATAGGCTAATTTTTTTTACCAAACAGTGCCTTATATTGATTTTTAAACCAAATCAAACAATTAATAATGGTCAAATAAGTCAAAATTAACCTATAAACTAAATAAGACCTAAGTAAAAAATGTTCCGATTAACTCTCCTGAATCGGTTAAATACTCCAATTAAGTCCAATTCTTCCCAACCGATCATAGCTTACATGTCATCCACATGGATCATTTCTACACATTCTATCCTAAATTGCAGTATCTTAATACTAATGTGCAAATTTAGAGATGTGCAAATTTTAGTGTTCAAGTTTGCATAGTAAAATTGATGATAATTATGAAAATATCATCGTATTTTTTAAAAAAATCTGTTCTGGTGTGTTTGAATTTTCTAGATGTAAAGTTGAAATTGGTTTTTAATTTTCTCGTAAGGACTTATATATTATTGCACTACTCTTCAGATCTCGGTCGTCCAATCTCACATTTCAACGGTGCATAAGAGTTCACAGGTTTACACCCAAGCAAGATTTCGATTTTAGAGTTTATGACTGAGTTTTTGATTTTATTTGGTTTAGTAGTTCACTTTTTACTACATAGGGTCTAGCATTTACAGTTTAGATTTAAAATATGGGTTTTTCATTGATTTTATAAAATTTATAAGGTTTAATTTGCATATTTAGTTGTTAAAGTGCATGCAGCCACTTTGAACTAAGGATCTCAGACTATAGTCACATACATGCATGATATGATTTCTTAAGAACACACAGTTTAACCAGAAAGATAGATGTGCCATGTTATATGAACCATAATAACAAATTCAGGTAATGCAAATAAAAGGAATTCAAATAGATAATCCTATATTCCCACTTGACAATTTATACATCATAAATTTATAAATATTTATACCTCACCCACTATAGGTAAGTTCCAACTTTCAACCACTTTATGTCCCCATTTATTGTTTTATTCTTTTCCCAAAATGACCAACCAGATCATAATTTCAACACTAAGACATGCTCATACAATCTTTGTAAGTTGCAATATAATGTTGGATTAAATATGACTAGAGTGCAATTGTTATACCACGGACCAGATTATGGACCCTGGTAAAAAAATATATGTGCTTGAAGTTAACATATTATTTGTTTTCAGTTAATAAATTATGCATATGTAAATAAACTGAAGACATATAATTGGTTTATTACAAACACATAATATGTTAATTACAGACATATAGTATTTTGACTTCATACATATAATATACTAACTACATATTATGTGTCGAGTTAATTACCAAAATGGTCATTGACTATAGCAAAATTACTAATTTGGTCCTTGACTATTTTTTTAACCAATTAAGTCCCTCAACTTTAAAAATCTTAACCAATTTGGTCCTCTGTTTGTTTGACCGTTAGTCAACCGTTAACTTGGGACCAAATTGGTAATTTGCTATAGTCAAATGACCATTTTGGTAATTAACTTTAAGGGTGGGCAATTCGGTTCAATTTTCTCGAACCGAACCATACCAAACTAGTTAGATAAGGTAATATACCGAACAACCGAACGATAATAGATTCTTGTGTACCGAACGGTTCGGTAAAAACTCGGACCGAACCGAATTTTTTCGGTTAAAACCGAACCGAACCGAATACCGTTTGAACTTTGGATTGCTATTTTGTTGTATATTAGACTTTGGATATGGACTATGTAAACACCATAACACAGAATATAGAACATTTAATAACAAACCATAAAAAAATCAAATAAAACATTTACGAGATATACCCGTGAGAATATAAGTTGAACGACATAGCAAGCAATAAGGGACTTGGATTTACTCTTTATGTATTTATTTATTTATTTATTTATTAATTATTATTATTATTATTATATTTAAAAAAAAAATCAGACGGTACTCGGTCCAGTTCAATTTTTTACTGAACAATTCAGATCAGTTCGGTCGGTTTTTTATCGAACCATTTGGTATACAAGAATCCAATACCGTTTGATTGTTCGGTATATTACCGAATCAAATTAGTTCGGTTCGGTTTGGTACAGTTCAGTTCGATAAAACTAAACCGAATTGCCCACCCCCAAAGTTAATTACCAAAATGGTCCCTTGACGATAGCGAAATTACCAATTTGGTCCCAAGTTAACGGTTGACTAACGGTAAAACAAACGAAGGACCAAATTGGTTAAGATTTTTAAAGTTGAGGAACTTAATTGGTTAAAAAAATAGTCAATGACCAAATTAGTAATTTCGTTATAGTTAAGGGACCATTTCGGTAATTAACTCTTATGTGTCTTAGTTAACATATTATGTATTTTCAATTTATTTACAAGCACATAATCTCTTAATTGCTGACACATAATTCGAATGTCATCTTGAATTAGGATCTATGTTATAATTTGCCGAGTTGAGTGAAGCTAGGCTAAGTTGATCAATAATTTTTATTTTTTATTTTTTTATAGCCCAAGTCGCCCCACATCCAAAAAGATACAAATTATACCATGAACTATGGTCTATATTACATTATAGATAATAGTTCAAAATGACATTCATATTATGTACCTGCAATTCTGCAAATAACAAATTAAAAAATAAAAATGCTTTTCAAAAAATAAATCATTTTTTAACATATATTGTTCATGTTTCTAAACTGACCCTACATTTGAAATCGCCACATTAAACATTAAAGGAATAATGTTCAAATTGGCCATTGAATATAACTGAAAGTGCAATTAGGCCACCGGACGAAAAGAAATACAATTAGATCACTGAACACGATAAAATCATGCAGTTTGTCCCAAGTGACCTGCAACGGCAGGTTACAAACAGATAATTAGCTAAGACTAAAAAAACTATTTAATAAATTATTAAAAAAAAAATAATCTCCGACTGAGACCACCAGATCCATGAAGGGATAAGACAGCGGCCATGGCTGCCTTGATCCCTTCATTTTTTTTAAAGCTTTTATTATGATATGATGATATGTTATGGAGGGGCGTTTGTTTGTTGACTGCAACTTTTAATTCTGTTTCGTCGAAGGTGTAAAGCTGGAAGGAAAATATTTTTGTATGCCATTCTCTTTCCTTATGCTCTACCAAACACCGAAAGTAGAAGTGGTCGGCTTTTCCGTCCGAAACTGTTTCCATAAATCACTAACCCTTCTTCTCCGATGAAATTATCACCGGAATCGTCATTTTCCCATCGCCGATCACCAGCGGAGCACCTTTTAGACAATTACTTCCACTGATTGTTTCGGCGTAAAACTCTTAATCTACAGGTCAATTCGATACTCTTCATCGCTTCATTTAAAAAAAAAAAAAAGAAGGTTTGAAATCCCTTCACCCTGCTTTTTTTAATACTTTTTTTTTAGCTAATTACCTGTTGCTAATCTACCATTGCAGATCACTTGAGATAAATTGCATGATTTTACAGTGTTTAGTGATTTAATTGTATTTTTTTTTCGTTCAGTGTCCTAATTGCACTTTCAAATTATGTTCAGTGACCAATTTAAACCTTATTTCAACATTAAATTTAGTCAATTTTAAAAATTAAAAATGTCATTATATTTGATGCATAAAAAATGAAAGCTGTAACATAATATATTGTACAATAAATAGCACCTAAAAATTTCACAAATTTTAATAAGCTTTTGACAAACACAAGCTAAGTTAAATCGGGAGTTGGCCAGTCGTGATCTCTCACCTCCGTCCGTCTAGCGCGTGTACACTGTAATAGAAAAAAAAGCACAAAATCAACAAATATCAAATCGAAATCGTACGACGACAAAAGTGGCTAAGAAAATAGATAGATAGAGAGAGAGAGAGAGAATTTTCGGAAAGGTGGTTCGGTAGGAAAGAGGAAGAGAAACCATCGTTTCGGGTCGATTACCTATTTCTAGTTGTATAAATAAAATATATTGAAATAAATTATGGAGTTTTGAGAGTTGGGATTTTGATTTTATTTTTGGATTTTGCCAAGGAAAAAAAGATAGAGCTTTCGGGGATAATAGTTTGTTGTTTATGGAGGTGTTGCCGATGAGATACGTACTCGTGGTTGTTGTCGTATTGGTGTATGAGTTTTCTACTTTTAGCTACGTATCTTCGTATTCGAATCCGTATGCTTCCGAATCGACGTGCCGGCGCCGTCAGTCTCCTTCGTTTCTGCACGATCTGAAATTTCAGTGCTCCCTTCCGATCTCCATGCCTTCTTTTCCCATTGAGGTAGAGGGTTTTATTTATTTATTCTTTTCGTATTCATTTCTTGACATTCTGCTGTAAATTTAAACGTTAAGTATCATTTTTACGATGTTAAGCAGCGTCTGTTGAAGTTCTTGATCTGGATCGTTTTTTGGAAGTCGGGATCCTTTTGCATTTTATGGGTTTTTTTTTTTTTTTTTTGGGCGGGGGGGGGGGGGGGGGGGTGGATTAAAATTAGGGTTTTAGGGTATTATTGATGATTATATGGATATAGAAAGACGGCTTCTCTTGAGCAGAAGTTTGCCCGAAAAATATGATTTTTTTTTTTTTAGTCCATGGTGCATATTTATTGAGTTACATCTTTGAAAAATTGGATCTTGGCCCTCCTGCCATTTTCCTGAAGGTACTTCACGGTTGTGAATGAATAATTTGTAACGACAAGCAGTAACAAAATTGTGGAGATTTCTGGAGCAATGACGAACTTGTTGCTTTATTACTTACTGGCTTTCTTTATGGAACTAAAAAACAGCAGTGCCACAGGGTAAGAAAAAGTTGAAAAGAAAAATAAAAGTTAAGTGATTGCATGATGCTGATATGCATTTTTTAAAATAAGGGAATGTGCAAAATTTGATTGTTATAGAGGTCATTTGGAGACTAAACAAGAAATTTCTCTGTGATTAAGTAGGTATAAGGCGTGGGAAATCCTTGCTTTGTGCACAATTTGATTGTAGAGGAGAAATAGTTTTAGCTCTATATTTATTTATACCTATTCTGTAGCCCTTCGGGTTCACAGTTAGCATAGTTCTTTGTTGCCTTAGTGTTCCCGCGCTACCTTTTGTTTTGTTTTGTTTTTTTGTTTTTTTTTTTGTTTTTGTTTTTTGTTTTTTTTTTTTTTTTGTTTTTTTTTTTTTTTAATGTTAATGAATACATTCTTCTGCAACTCTTTGCTTTCCTTCTGTTTTCTTGATGTTAATCAGTGCAAAAATTCCTTTTCTTCAAATGTATCTTTAATTTATTAAGCTAGTCATGCACATGGACTTAGCTCTTATACCCCATCAAAATTACTACATTTCATAAGCACTTATTTTGAAATACTCTGGCTTGACAAAGGTCTAGAATGGGATTTTCTTTTTTAATTTCTTATAAAAAATTAGGATTTTTGTTTGTTTTACTTCAAAAAAAAAACAGAGAAATCTTTTAATTGAGAATAAAAAATGAAAATGGATAAGATCCTCAAAGCGATAATAAAGATGATGCAGAGCCAATCATATGTTTGCCCAAGCTTACCACGACCCCCTTTTAACTCGCGACGCCCCCCGACCGCCTTGTCGCCTAGGCGATAAGTTAAAAAATACAATATATATATATATATATATATATATATATATATATATATATATATATATATATATATATATATATATATATATATATATATATATATATATATATATATATATATATATATATATATATATGAACTAAACATTCTAAAGTCTAAACAATTAAACATATTCAACAATGCATCAAGTCACCAACTAGATAACACACAATAAATAAATATGAAATATCCATAAAAAAGTAGAATAATATCCAACATCCAAGTTAAAACTCTCAAATATCCATCAAAAAGTCACTCATATTCCCTTGCCCCTCATTGTCATCATTAATATCTTCATTTCCTCCCGCTTGGTCATCATCATCATCATTTGAAATGATCCTTCATTTTGTTCTTCCTCATCAATCCTATAACTAGAAGTATTGTAGCGTCGTGAATAGTTCAAGATTGGTGCACTCGTACCTTTCTCGGCCTCCCGGGCAACGTCGGTCCGAGGGGGACGGCGGTCCAAGGGCGATGGCTGTGGGAGGTCGACGCACTGGGTTTGAAGAGCGACGGCGAGAAATGCAAAATGTTTCTTTCTTCTCTCTCTTCTCTATTCTTATTAGGCCATACCTTTAAAAAAAAAAAAAAAAAAAAGGGTCGGGAATACAGGTTTGGATGCCAGGTCGGCGTCCATGGCGTCGATTGGGATGCCGGAGCTCGCCTTGCCATTTTCAGGCGAGGCGATGCCTCGAGGCGTCCTGTCGGACGCCTAGGCGACACCGTGATAAGCATGTGTTTGCCATCCTTCTTAATAATTGTTTGGACATAATTTGTTTTTCTTTTGTCAATGAACTTTACATGTGAGTTGAATGTGTGTCTTCTCATTAATTCATTTCCTCTGGCATATCTAACAGCCTTGTATAGTGGAGGAAAATTGTAATATCATCTAGGTTGTTTATCTTATGTATTTTTATTTGTTCTCCACTTTGTTTACTAATGCAATTGTTATTATATTCTCATTGAAGATGGATGGAGAGTCTCTTGACAAAGTTCTGGACTCCAGTCAAAAGGATGGGCTTACTGCTGTTTTATTCCATGCGGCATGGTGTCCTTTCTCCAGCCGTGCTAGACAAGTGTTTACCACTCTTAGCTCCATGTTTCCACAGATCAAGCATGTAATGGTTGAGCAATCTGCAACAAGGCCAAGGTATATTTATTTTTTTATTTTAGTTACTTGAAATTTGGTGGATGTTCTGTACATGCCCTGTAATACTTAATCTTGTAGTCATCTCTCTCTTTTGTGTGTGGTGGATATTGGTTACTGCACATGTCTAGATTTTGATTTTTCAGTTATCTTTACATTGCAGTTTAAGCAACCAGACTAATTAAATACTCTGTAACAATTACCAACTTTGGGTTTTATGGTTACCCTGTATGGAAATATTTTCCCATAAAATCATCTCTTAATGTTCCTCAAAATGTCATCTTCTGTAGTTCCATTGTCTCCCTGGTTTTCAGCCATCATCAATCTCTCTCACGTGATAAAATTTGTTGTTTGATTTCTTTAAATTAAAGGAAAAATCACGTGTTTGGTCCCTTAATTATTGCATGTTATGCAAGTTAGTTCCTTATTGTCAATTTTTAGAAATCCAGTTCCTCAATTATTCCAAATGTTGTCAATTTGGTTCCTTGGTTATCTTGTTGTTAAACATTCATTCATTTTAGGGTTTTGCTTGGCTTTTATTTTTTATTTTTGGAATTTCACAGTAGCTCCGAATGTCCCTCAGAACCCAAACCGTATGCATCTTTAGCTCCGAATGTCCCTCAGAAACTAGCAAGGCAATTGATACTAATGAGGTACATGGGTTGAGTTATGGAGGGAAATTGAGAGTTGTGTGAGTTTTTTTTTTTTTTTTTTTTTTTTTTTTTTTTTTTTTTTAATAAAAAAAATAAAAAATAGAAACCCTAAAACAAACGGAAGTTTAACAACGAGGTAAGTAGGTAACCGAGATGCCAAATTAACAATATTTGGAATAATTAAGGGATTAGATTTCTAAAAGTTGATAATGAGATATTAAATTGCATAATGGGCAACAATTGAGTGACCAATATGGCCTTCTCTCTAAATTAAAACACAAATTGATATGGCCTTCTTTATGAATTGGGGGAAATGGGGGTACATTTACTTTGCCTACCTGTAAAAAAAAATTATATAAGCATTGTACCGATGATTTTTAATGGTGAAATTAACAATTAATGATTCCACCCACTTATAACATTAAATTATTATATTTGCTTAACAAATGTTCAACAACATATGATGAAATCATGGCATTTGCACTGAGTTTACTTGTAATTTTAACAGATTACAGTGCATGTAAACTTGTAATCTGAAACTCTATGCATTGCACGTGCTCAATTCTACCTTCTCTTTGAAACTTCATATATTAAAAACAGAAATAACAAACATACATATATGATATTCTTTCACGAAACTATAAAATACCTTAAAGAAAGATGAAAGGCTTAAATGTTGGGACTTGGGAGACCTCCTCTGGAAACATTTTCATAAATTTTGGAGCTTTAAAAATGGCTTTGGGGTCCCCAAACTCAATATAATCCATCTAGGTGTTTCAGCTAGGGATTTTAAAGCACCATTTTAGAAGTTTTTTTTTAGAGTTTAAGAATTTTTTTTTTCCAATGTTGAGGAAGGTCCCTACATGTAAGCCCTAACCAAAATATACTATAATATAAACTATATATCCTCTTTTCCCATGCATATCTCTCTGATGTTTGTTCTTCTTTAAATGATAAAACTCCATCTCCTAATCTATATTCCTTTGCCCAGTAAAAAAAAATGAATGACAAATAATAAATGCAAGGTGATATTCAAAAGGAAAATTCACATATGGGAATTTTTTAGCAAATGTTCTCATAGGCAATGCTGTCCTAATATCTGATTGTGAATGGTTGCAGTGGCTGGCCAGAAGAGGAAAATTGGGGAATAAAGAAAAAGAGACGAAAAAGTAAAGGATAAAAAAGGCAGATTCACATATAAACAAAAGAAATTTGTGGGATGCTACCATGCGTAGTTCACTTTTTATTAGCATGTTATCTTTGATGAATTACGTTTATAATTTAAATGATTTTATGCATCTATTGACATGCCAATTTGTAATCAATTGCTGAAAATAGGGCACAAAGCTGGATTAATTATGGTTTAGAACTCGGTAGACTGCATTTTGATTGAACTTTGGTGCAGCTGTTCTTTACTTAACCCTTTAAGCATGACATTTGGTGCACAAGTTTTATGAAGGCACACTACTTCAGTGTGATTTGGAAGTCTCATTTGGGCCATCTACATGTCTAAAGCATTGAGCTAAATTTTATTAGCCTAGAATGACTATAGAATTATAAATCAGATCAATTTATAGAGTATTAAACGAAGCAGCATATATAACTTGTGGTTGTATTATCTGATGTCCACGTATTTTAGTAGATTTTTCTTGATTTTAACTTGTACATGTACCATCTCCTGTGCAGTGTTTTCTCGAGGTATGGTATTCACAGCTTGCCTTCAATTTTAATTGTGAATCAGACAGAAATGTTGCGATATAATGGCCACAAAGATCTCCACTCTCTTGTGAAGTTCTACAAGAAAACTACAGGTGGGACTTTTGCGAGTTCTCCTATGCAGATGCTTACTGTTTGGAGGCATTGTGATATCATTTATTCATTCATCAATTACATCAATGACTAGTCTCTCTCCATCTTTAGATCTTGCTGTCTCTTTACTGACAGATGTCATTCTTGGCATTTGGCTAAATTTAAAATCTGGCTTCTAACTATATCTTATGTCCACACAAGTATGCATCTTCCTCTGGCTTTTCTTGTTTCTTACATTCGGTGGTGGGATAGATCTTCTCAGTGGTATTAGTTTTTTTTTTTTTTTTTTTTTGGGTTTCTCGACTAAGGATTTATATTAATTATAGCGGGGAGCCTTTTGGGATTAGGAAAATCATTAAAAAAATGCTTGTTAGTTTTTCTGTCACTGAATGCACGTCTGTGATGTCTGAAATTCTCTCTATTTTCAGGTCTTTATCCAATCATGGATATGACTGAGAGTGAAAACAGCTATGTTGAGAAAACCCAAGAAATTTTCATTCCATGGAATGGAACCTCTTTGAAGGAAATGTTCGGAACGGAGCCATACTTGGTACTTTCGGTAGCATTTGTGTTGTTAAGGGCTTTATTGTATTTCTTCCCGGGGATAGTATCTCGTGCTGTGGCTTTGTGGGCTGCATATGTACCTCATCTAAACATGAGTGTATTTGGAGAGTCGAGGCAGCTTTTAGGGCATGTTCTCCACGTGATTGATCTGAAGAGGGTATTGAGCAAGCTAAAGCTGTCGAAAGCAAGGAACTTCCAGCGAAGTGCACGGAATGCTCGAGTTTGGGCTTCATCCCTGACTTCCGTTTCCCTAGGAGAAGCTTCCTCTTCGAGAGTAGTATCCCCTTCCGGAGACTTGTGAGTACGAGTACGAGGTGGTGGGGTGGGGTGGGCGTTGGTCAGTTCACATCGAAACATCAGAATCCAAAGTGCAGGCAGACTTAGATCACTGAAACCAGCTTCTAAAGCATGTAGATTTTGCCCTTTTTTGCCCTTTTGTCTTCTTGCTAGTTATTGTTGTGGCTCTGCTAAATCATTTGTTTTGTTTCTGCAAAGAATTATATAGTGTTGTGCTTTGGAGCTGGAAATATACAGCAGTGAATGTAAATGTGAGAACTGAGAAGAGATGTTTTCCTCCTGTGTATATTATTATGGTAACTGTAAGTGAAGGAAAACTGACTTGCAAGCAAACTTGTTAATCAAAATGAATGTTGGTTGTTCCACCGCTATGCCTTAGTTTTTTTTTTTTTTTTTTTTTTTTTTTTTTTTTTTTTTTTTTTTTTTTAAATTTTTGGATGACAAGGGAAACTTGCAGCTGCTATTCTAAGGTGTGCATTGGGTAAATTCTGTCTTGTGACCTTTATAGGCAAAAGATTACAAGGAGGTAAATCAGTCTAGGTTGTTCATAGTTGACTGGTTCATATTTATTGAACAATAATCTAACTAGTATTTTATACATACATAATACAAATCAAACAAGTTATGTAATTTAAAAGTATAAACAAATTAGATAATGGCATGATGAAATAGGAGGAAAATATTATAATATTGAATTAGTTTTATATAATTCAAAGAGGTAAAAGGAACTTTCTTGTTCAACTAATTATTCATTCAAAAAAATTATTTAATAATAATAATAAAGTGAAAGATAATTATTAGATGGGGATAGGACAAAGTGTTGCAATACAACCACCCTAACGTGGCCACCATCATCCCACCTTATGAGGTGCACATGCCATGGGGCATCCATCATTCCATAGCCCAAATCATATTGCTTGCCTGACTTAATTTCATTTTTGGTCTTAGATTTATAAGGGACAGATCACTTTTTAGTCCCTTTTTATCAGAACATTCTTAATTTCTTATTTGGTCATAATATTATTGTGTCAGAATCATTTTTGATCATCCCACTTATCCGTCAACAAATTAACCTCGCTATATTTTTATGTTTATTTTTTTTTTGAAAAAATCTATAATTAAAGACTAAAATACTTTTGTATTTAACGTCATTTAAATTTTTTTGTCGATAAAAGACCAAAAATGACCATACCACCCAATAATATTAGAACCAGATGAGGGTTATGATAAAAAATAAAAATAAAAAAAATGAACTACCTATAAATCTAAGACAAAATGGAAATAACTCTTCCTTGCATTTTGCATTTACAATTTTGTTCTATTTTCTTTTACCCAAAAAAAAAAAAAAAAAAAAAAAAAAAAAAAAAAAAACTCCTCACATTCCCATTGTTCACATTACAACAACGTTATGTGATATAACTTAACAAAATGTCCCCTTAAAGCATTAGTCATCAACTGGCCTGAGGAATGGAACAGAATTGAAAGATTTTGTCTTCTTAGTAAGAGAACACAAAGATGATTGAGAATAGACTGACTATATTAAAGCCAAAACTTCCAACTTTACAAACAATTTTCCTTGCAACATTTCAAAATTGATGCTGAAACTGCAACTAAAACTCAGCAATATCGAAGCTATGTGCCCTTCAACCAATAAGCCATACTCTAATACTAATACCTCTACCCTTTGATTAATATTCCCTCTTTTTTTTTTTCTTTTCTCATCACCCTTCATTTACAGAGTCACAATCCTATATTCTTACAACATCTACTCATGTACACAGCTTCACATCCCCGAGAACTCTCTTCGAGAGAACTTCAAATTGATGGATACCGAAAAGGCAAGCTTATAGATAGATACGTTTTGTCTCACCTTTCTGCGTTTCGAGAGTATCAGCCCAAACACGAAATGAACTTCTAAGAACTAGGGCTTCCTCAGCACACTTCGAGGTGAGGCGATGAAGTACACCAGTGGCTTTTGCATCTACGGCTGAAACTAGACCTCGCTCGAAAAATGCTGTTTAAGTGATGAATACAAGCATAATGTAGTCAAAAAGGCAAGTCGTTAACAAAAAGTATGAAGTAGTGACTGCATATTGTTATGGAATATCACGGCTGAAAATTATAGAATTTCCGACCACCTGAAAGTGATCAAATCAAGTTGAAAGCCTTGTTCCGACCACTTTTGGTATCCGGAAAAACCTTTGTAGCTATTTCCAACGACTTCTTGCTTTCGACTTGATTTAAGATCACTTTCAGGTGGTCGGAAATTCTATAATTTCCAGCAATGTATAGATATAATATTTGGAATCTGTATAGATTAGGCAGTCTTAGGGATTTAGGCAGGTAGGCATATCGAAACTTGTTTCCTCATTCGTGGTCTTCTAGCATGTATTATAGGGCTTTGTATTCTCTTTTCTATACGACAGCATATTAAGAAATATTCTCTTTACTTTCGTAACACATAAACAGTGGAAGCAACTTACAGTCACAGATTCGTCATTAACAGCCGCCAGACATGAATGGTTCAGGGATATAGCAACTAACAAGGATAATCTTCTTCTCGTCGATGTGCTCTGAACCCGAAAAGGATGATGGAGCCGAACTGATGGCTGGGTCTAGCGCCTCTATAAAGCTTCGAGTGTAACTGATGCCTTTGTAAACACAGAAAGTACAAAAGGAGCCTCTTCACCGGGATGTATAGTTGTAGGAACAATTGTGTAGCCTTTAGGGTCGGGATCCAGGACCATCTCACATGAAATTTCTCGAGAGTTCACATAATCCGTCCCACCAACAGATTCGTGCAAGTAAATGTTGTAGGCAGCACGCCGGCCACGGGTCTTTAGTATCCTCATTCCAATGTAGAACATCAGTGAATCGTGGCTCGACTGAAAATTTCTGAAACCAGCTGTAGTCCTCGAGAAGCTCACACCCTAATGATAACTCGTCTTTAGATTTTCATATAGTCAACAAGGTATAGAGTTATATATATATGACTAAATAGCAGGAAATTTATAGTGTACCTGGGTTAAAGTAATGAAAACATGAATGGGCAAAGAAGCATCAGCCCCTCTGGCCCTCAGTCGGAACTGTGGGTTCTGATGCCATGTGTCATAATCCTGGCAGCCACCAGCACTATAACCTCGCCACTGTCCATGGACAGAATAACGCATTTCTGGTGGGTAAACACGACAAACATATATTGACCTAAAGTGTATTTGAAAATCTTGCCAAGACATCCAGAATATGCCATCTTTTGCCTGTATTTAATAATGATCAACGGGAAACTTGTAACACTTGCAAAGGAAGGTCATTGGCCTTGATGAAATAAATATAGCACAGTAAAACCAAATAATTACTTTCATACATAACTAAAATATAACACCTAAGAATAGCTACCTGGGGGACATGTTTCAGCTTGTGCTTCATCCTGTCTGTCCATTCAGGTGATGAATCAGACCAAGGACCATTCCACTCAACCTCATTTGCCCATGGATTTCGGATTTGAACAAGTTTATGGCCATCTACTTCTCGTACCTTATAAAACACACCAAAATACACAAGTAAATAGAAGTGCAATAGTATCTGAATAATCCTATAAACACTAAGCTCCCTTGTATTCTTTATACAATACATTATATCAAAACATGCTCTATCTACTGGACCGATCAATCTTTTACTTCGTAATTACAGTAGTATAATGTGTGTGTGTGTGTGTTATCTAATGATTATAATTGATATACCTGTAATATTGAATAGGCATGCCCTTGAACAATACCACTTGAAGAAATATGCACATCTGAACCCGAAGGGCTACCGGCACCAAGTAGGAAACCCTCTTGTTTGAACCGTAACAATTGAGACCATAATCTTCCACTTGCAAGATCAATCTGTGCTTCCGCACTTCTCATGTCAATTTCCTCACCAGCACCTCCAGTGAGATCCACAAGAGCATCTTGAACAAGTCCACCTTCTAATGCCTCATACGAACCATGAAGCTTAGCATAAGCTTTCTCCAATATACCGACCCATAGCTCGTTTCCCTTTCTGCTGGTGGCAAATGCAGGTTTACCGGGTGACTCACAGGGAATCCAATCATCAACAACAACAGGAACCCATTCCCCCTGAATCAACAAAGCCAAAAGCATTAAGTAGATAATTTAGCTAAATAAAAGCTCTTCAAAAAAATTTATCACAAGTCATGTAAACCATTAGATCAAGGATGAAGTATCTTGTGTCCGTTGGCTTAGAGCATTAGTTGGGATGTCAAAGAGGAGTGCCCATGAGAACATGCTTGAACAGATTTACAACTGGCAACCTATAGGCTATAACACTGTAATTTGCAAACTTATCCAGAAGCATGACTTTGGTCTAAGCAACATTTATGGGTGACCAAGAAAACTCAGGCTTGAATCCACAAAGAGATGATGTTTTTAGTAGATGTTGTTGTGATAAGAAATACATTTCAAATGAACCAATGTCATTCATTCACACCAGACATGAACCGACATCATTCACTGCCGAAAGACATCAAAAATTTTGAGGCAGATTATATATTTCAAAGAAAAATAAAATAAAAATTAAACAGAGTTTCAAGATAACACTGACTTTAAAGTGATAAACTGGTAATTTCAGAGCAGCACTTCAGCAAAATTGAGTCAAACTTGGGACATAATGCTTTGAATATTGACATTTCTTTAAAGAAGTGATAACGTGATGTAGCCAACTAGTTGAGGGGAAACTTGTACTGATTTGATGTATAGATTCGTAAATTTTAAATATGTATGATGGCTCACCTGGATACAGAACCGAACTGTATAGATTCCTTCCTCATTGTATTCGGGTGTAATTATGACTTCTGATATTCGTGAAACCTCCGTTAACACAGCAACAGCACTCAGGAACCAACAATCACCCAATCGACCCTGAAAAATGCATAGTGACATTGATCACAAACACACTCACACAGACACATAAGCAAATTGTCTCCAAAGGGGAAAAGCCAAAGAGAGATGTTTGGACGGAGATAGGATTGCAAGCGTTAGACAGCATGATTGTTGATTAGTTTGGTACTCTAGCTTTTAAATTTATTTTTTAGCATCCCATTTCTTTAATAAAATCATTTTGACTTATCAGAGAATTCAAAACCTGGCAAACATCTGAAGAATTTGCTGCTCCAGAAAACAGGCACGGGGCAGAAACAAGACGTTTCTCTCGGACTATTTCAATGGGTCTCATCCATGCAGCAACCACCTTCAAGCAAACTTATTGTGAGTGCTTGCAGCAGGTATTACATAAATATCACTCTAGAAGTGAAAATTGAGCCAAAACAAAATCCAGAGCAGATAGATGCCAAGGAAACTCACCTGCAACTTTGAAGGGGGGTTATCTGGATCGACAAACAATGAGCGGTCACTAGGAGGAAATTCTTGATCCGTGAATTGGGATTCTCCTCTTGCCAATAGAGCCTCCTTCACAGCCATTTCAACCGAGAGCATGCGTTGATTCATTTCTTCCTGTGTCTCCATCGAAGGCTTCCTCAACCTCCGAGTAAAAGAATCAACATCTAATACCACACCATCCCGTTCTGATCTTCTCCTCCTCCCACTTGAATATTGTCCATCCCAGTCTACATCATCTCTGTCATAAAGATCGACATCTGCAGGATCACTCTCCCAGTCATCCACCTAGATGAGAAAACATAAACTTGCAGTGAGGAGAAGATCCAAGAAGATGGACAACGAAGAGAAAGGAATGGGTGTTAGAAATATTCCTGGCAGGACACACAAATTTAGGAGAGTACTTAATGCATTGACCAAGGGATATATTTCCAAATTTGCCCACATTAAATGTATTTACAATAAAATAACTTTTTATTTCAAAATTTTATTTAAAGGATACTTTGGATAATGAACCTATGAATTTATTTTGTGGGACAATTTTTAACAAGTAGAGGTACTAAAAAGATTTTTAAAAATAGCAGCAGGGAGAAGGTCCAATAAGATGGATGACAAGGAGAATGGAAATTGGAAAAGGCAGTCAGTGCTATAAATTATTATAGCCACAACTATTCTTATAGATGGAAATGACCCTATAATTGGAAGTTCTTAGATATAGAATACAAACCCTAGTTGGAGATTCTGCCCATTGCCAATTATCATCGGGTAGATTGATCATGTTATACTCTGCAGAACCCATTGCACCTGGGAGAGTGGCAATCTCATCTTCAGTTAAGCACCTTCCCCAAAGAAACACATCCATTATCTGCATCTTGGAATCAGCTGCTTCACTATCTGATCTCCCAAATGCATCAACATCAATAGGTGGCCTTATGCCCACCCAGGCTTCTGTCCCTTGCTCCCATATGCAACTACCGACATGCAGCGGTAGCCCTGTCTGATAGCCATCATAATTACCGTCTAGAAAGCAAGTCACTTCACCTAAATCAGCATCTACAGTCATTGTAACGATATGCCACCTGCAAAGCGAATTTGTTTGCTAATCAGGAAATACTCAAGAAACTCCCAGCTAAGAAAACATTATGAGATCATGAAATTACGAAGTAAATGCCAAACATTGACAGATTCTTAACAAATTTAGGAGATTTAGAAATAGTTAGCCACGGCAAGCTCATTCCACAGGCAAACTCAAAAGGAAAGGAAAACAAACCTCCCATCAGCAATATTACTGGCACCTATACTCCACTCCTTTGAAACTGTTGTTTGTCTATCACCCTTGGTAATTAATCTAAGCCCAACTTGTCCAGCTTCAATGCCTTGCTCGGATCCAGCAACAAGAAACTCCCAACATATTTTCTTCTGTAATTCAGAACCCAATAGACAAACTGGTCCAGACTCCAGCTGCACCATAACGGCAATAGAAATGCTAATTTTTTGACTGTGACAGACACTGAGATCAATAGGGCCACAGTGCCTGCCACTGCTAGTTGGTTCATCATCAAGAATACATACAGCACCACTAAGTCCAGTCTGCAACAAAAATGAAATTCAGAAGGCATGCAATAAATGACAATCTATAGTATAAATCACAGGCACTTTCTGACATGAAAAATTGAAACTATATCTTTAGCATATCAACATCCAGAAGGGAGGATACCAACAGATATAGATATGTGGTTTCAGAATTAAGAGTAATGTACTATAATTGCATTAAAAGAATGCTGGGAGGGGAAAAAAGCTAAACGCATTGCACTAAGATAATCTGAGGCTTTCACAGACAGCAATTAATGAGATAATGACAACCTGTAGTGCTCGACGAGATAACTGAGCTGCACGTATACGACGTGCGATGCTTGAAACTCTCTCACGAGCAAAAGAATCATCAAGAACAGAATCACCTCCAACTGCACGAACAGCAGCTGCCAATGCTGCTGCTTCTCTGTTGCCAGCATTTGGGATAGATGATATAAGTGAAGCCTCTATTTCTTTCCATTTGCGTTCTTCCTTCTCCAGAAGAGCTTTCCTCCTTTCTTTACCCCGTCCTTCCTCTTCGCGCCTCTGCATCAAGATTTCCTCTTCCATCTCTTTCTCTCTTATATAACTACAAGCATAGGTATACAAAACTTAAGAAATAATCTCACTGTTGATAGAGGAAGAGTAGTACACTAATAGCTTGAGAGGAACTTATATACCTCTCTTGTACAAGTTCAAACCGCCTACGTTCTTCTGGTACCCACTTTTTGATATCCTTAGCACTAAGATCTGAAAATCCTATGCTGTCAAGGAAAAGTCTCAAACGAACCTCATCCTGTAAAAGCAGAAGGTTAGCAGGAAAACATAAATTCTTGACCTGTAGGAAAGAAAGCTGAAACATTTCTACCTGTACTCGTTCAGCTTTAGCAGTCAAACCAAGCAAAAGAAGTAAATAACCACCAAACTTATCCCACATGTAAACCCATTCGGTGTCAATTGCTTCTTCCAAAGCAAGTATTCGGGCATGCGCACACATTTCTCTTCTGTGGCCCACATCACTGGTAGCTTCATGTAGCAGTGTTCTATTTCTCAGTCTAGAGAAAAATGATCCAGCAGCTAGTTCTTCATTTCTCAAACGGTCTCTTAATTTCATGACATCTGCCCTAGGAAGTACAAAATTTCCTCCTTTATCTCTCATTATGGTAGGATCCCCAACTAAAAGAGCAGCTGAGCTGGCAGACCTCTGTGGCGCAGAGTACGTTCCGGCTAAAGCGTTTCTGGTCTGAATAGGAAACAATTTTAGATTAGAATAATGGCATGCAGGAGCATGATTTCTTCTTTTTTCACTATCTAAAAAGATGTCGCATTTTTTCTACTCCAAAAGAAAGGGGAAAATAGTAAGCATTGCTTGATTATAAATAATCCATCACAAGATAAGAACTGCTAACAGAAGTACGCGCACCTTGGTGGCAGAACGAGCAATTGCTTGAACTACAGTTTCCTTACTAAGAAAGTGAACAGCATCTTCTACCATCTGGTGTTTCAGACAATGTAGTAAGCCACAAGTAAAAGAGTTGCAACAAGCTCAAAAATAAACAATTAAAATATTGTCTCAAAGGGCAACAAGATTATTGTAGTCAAGATTCGAAAAACGATTTTTCATACAAATAAAAGAAAGAAAGCAAGGCAAATCTTCAATAGCTAACTCAGAAATATCATAAATGGTAAAACCTCAAGAGTCAAACATGGGCGAGAGACAGCAAATCCGAAGGCTACAACAAGTGTAATTGCTGAAACAGCAGCTCCAGCAAAAGGTGGATAGATCTTCAAACTAGCAACTACACCCCATCCTTCAGTTGCTAATGCAATGCCATAAAGCACAAGAAATGCAGCACTGTGGAACGAAAATATAATAAATCATCAAGTACTTGAAGAATCATAAAAAATAATAATAATAATAATAATAATAACAATATCCAGATAACAAATTAAATATTCAAAAACAACAAAGTGAATCTCAAAAACTTGGACAAGCAGAGGAAGGTTTGACAAAGTCACAAAACCTGACGTTTTTCCCACAATCTGCATGAGCATCATACACATACACAGGCAACACCCTTGGGGAATAGACTACTATAGGAGGTGAAAGGAGCACCTACAGAAGGCAGAGAATAAATTACTGATATATAGAAGAGAAGCAAAATCTGAAAGCAAATAGTAAGTGCATCCATCTGCAGAAGAGACCTGATAAAAACATATATCAGCCTTAATTTACTATTGCAAGAAACAGTAACTTACAGTCAATGCCCTTCCAGCCAGAAGGAAAAGAAATGAAAAGTAACCAACAGATGCACCAACAAAAGCCTTGTCTGAAACAGAAATGGAATAAATACCATTATGAAGCAGAAATTTTGGTATTGGCCTTTTATCTAAGCCCAATGGTGAATCAAATCATCATGAATGGCAGATAAGAGTGTCGAATCACCTTGAAACCTTCCTACAAGAAAGGCTGCCAAAGCCAGAAGAAATGCTAGGAAACAAACAACTAGCATCTGCACCCTTGTCAGATAGAAATTATTTGAAGCCCAGTAGTGAATTACACCAATTGCTAGAACAAGGAGAAGGAGAACTAAAAGGAATGCTGCTCCTATCTGTCATAATATAAAGTGACACTCATATCAGATAGCCACAATAAGAGTTATACCAATTAGAGCTATAGCAATAAGTAATATTCACTTACTGTCCATGGATGAATTGTAACAATAATGGCCGAAATAGCACCAAGCAAAAGCAGAAGACCAATAGTAATGAATATATAAGCACCTCGAGAAAGTTTCCAGTTATCATCTTTCCTGAAATTGTTTTCAATAGTGTTATTCTGGATAAATATGAACAAGTATCTTCAATATAGGTAGTTTGAAAGTGTAAACAAAATAAAGATCCCAATTAGAATTTTAATGATCAAAGTCATGAAAAACGACATTACCATTTGAATAAACCAGAAGAAAGTGACAGGACTGCTGGAATGCATATCAAAGGAAGCAACGCAGCAAGGAAATCCTCCTTTGTTGGGACCTGGTCAATCCTAGAGCTCACAACTTTCAAATAGGAAGCACCACAGAATGCCACAAGAACAGCTACAAACAAATGAAGTAGAAATGAACTTTAGTAGATATTAGTACCGAAGATAAACTAATAATAAAGAAAATAATGTAAACATTTATGCTAGTAAAGTAATGACCATTAGTTACTAATGAAAGTGAAGAGGGAAAAATTACCTGCAAAAATACCAATAGAAATACCAGATGAGAGAGAAAACCGGTAGGTTGCAAACCATGATATGATGGGCAGCAAGCCACTAACTAACAAAGCAATTGCAGATGCCATTGCCCAACCAATGTAAACAGATGATGCATAGGGAGAGGTGACACCATTCTGATCACCAGTTAAACCCTTGTACCCTAAATCATCTAATGGTTTTGCAGACACTATTGCTCCAAGAGCTACAACAGATCCAGCAAATAAGGACATGTACACAAATAGAAGAATGCCCTGCAAAACAAATTCAATCAATTTTTTCAATCATTAGTTAGTAATAACAATGACAAAAGATGAGCCTGTATTTTATTGAACTCCAAATGTAACTGTATCCACAGATTATTAAAAAGAGAGAGATAGAGAAAGAGAGGAGTAGAATTAATGTTATACTTCTAGTTTTGACAAGTTATACTTAATTATGCTTAGTATCTAGTATCCACATGGAACTCATAAGAATGGGAGAAGATTCTTCAGAAAATGGAGAGAATACTGATGTACACACACACTTCTAGAAGAGCCTCCTCATATCAACCACCAATAGAGCAATTAAAATGGTTAGCAAATCCATTTCTTGAACTGAAAAACTATATATATTACCATAAAGCACTTATACATAGTAGAGATGGTACTGATTTTACCTGTTTCATCCCCAGAGTTTGATGATTTCCAGCACCACCTTCATTCTCAACTCTTGACACCCAAAACTGATAACCATTACGAATCCATATTGGAATGGCAAACGACAAGCATGCTACCATTAGGGGCACCATCAAAGACAATCCCAGAAGTACTGATGATTTACTGTAGATGAAATACATTATAAAATTCATTCAAAAGATAAATCAATCAAACAATTCAAGGAAACAAGACAACAAAAGGAATGAAACAGTGGTATCAAATCACAACACCATTTGTGAAATAAATAAATAAATAAATAAATAAATAAATAAATAAATAATGAATATATAAACAGAGGATTTAATATTGTTAAGAGTCCCACATTGAAAAAATAAGAGAGAACACATGGGCTTATAAGGTCATGAGTTAGACTAGTTAATTGATTGGATTTAGTCTTTTAGTGTGATTTGGCCCAATCTTTATTTAAAACAAATATCATTTCTCCTTTATAATAAAGGCTGATCACACATTGAGCAACCAGTCAGAATGTCAATCTAAGCAAAAACAAGCACTACTGGTCTTATAACAACACTGAGATGGCTTTAAAACAGTGGCAAGCAAGAGTCATTTAGGCTCTTTATGGGTAGTACTTCCCAGTAGAGCCAAATGACAACAGTTGAACCCACAGAAATAGGCCAACACTGATAATTCAAACATAAAATTCTCTTGATTATTTTTATGTTATGTAACTCAAAAACATATCAAAAATGGGTCACCAGCACATTGGCATGGTTCTTGGTGTGTCAAAATTAAGCAAAAGAATAAGGAAAATCTCAGAGCACGTCAGACAGATATCAAAGTGATTGTCAATGATAACCGATCCCAAAGGGGGACACATCATCTTGTGTGTACTGTTTTATTTTTTATTTGCCCAATTTATAAGATAGATAATAATGGTTGTAAAAGACAACCTTTTGCCACAAGAGTTCTCTTTTATCATGGCTTTGACTTTTGAGTGTATAATTAGTAATGGATATGTATTATCATTTGCTTTATAAAAATAAATAAAATGCTGAATTCAAAAAATTGTCAGGGTTTTACCTTAGGAATGAAAGAAGCAAACCAACACAAGTGCTTAGCATCCAAGCAATAAAACCATACTGCAAAATATGATTAGATTATTAAATAAAACACATATATGATGAATACCATAATTTGCCACATGAGGTATGAAAAGAATGGGAACCATATGGAATAACACTCATGAAAAAATCAACTTTTAGGGAACACCAATCAAGATTTCCTTTAAGAAACAAATTTGAAACAAGTTTTCTGGAAGAATATATTAATGAATGTGAACAACAGTATACCAGCTTTATGGACAGATATTGAGACAAGCTGAAGCTAATGCTTCATATAGGGACAAGTACAAAGAATATAGATTTTAACAAGAAATAATGTGCCACTGACTAAAAAGTAAAATACCTTCCGTGGCTTCGAAGTCATTGCAAGCTCTTCTGCTTGAAGAGACCGAAGGAACGCCAGTATTGAACAAATTACGGGAGACAAAAGCAGCACCACAATACCAAATTCAAACTACAGAAGAAGTTTTAAAACATTTGAGAAAAGAGAAATCAAACTCAATACAAGACTTTACTGAAGCACAAATCAACTTTCTTACTTGTTGGTGTGTAGCATTTATGAGTTTTATGGTCTTTGGACGAAAAACTCCCACAATTACAGTTTCAAGAATGAAGACTAAACTGAAAAGAAGCCATGCTCTTTCGGGAGTTCCTACTATGTGATGCAAAATTACTCTGCAAAACTGAAGCCAATTCCCTAACCCCTGAAGTCGAAGCTCTTCTGAAAAAGATATTTGATTAGGTAACACATGGTCAACACTGTTGGAGTCAATGACTGTCACATTGGTATTGTCACGGTGATCTCGATCAGCATCCAAACTACTTCTCTGCAATAATGCAAGGATCATCGGATCCAAACCATTCTCCTTCAACATCACAGCAAAATTTGGATCTAGTCCTTTATCTTGCAACAAACTAGTGAGTTCACGGTCTCCTTGTCTTGCCTTCCTCTTTAACATTGATGTAATTCTGGGATCATTCAACTTTTCCTGGAAAGCAAGTGCCAAATTCAAGTCCAGTATTTGCTGATTTGCAGAAGTTGATGCACTAGACTCACAGCCTTGGCTTTCCATGCCACTACTTGAACAAACTAGCAGAGAGTTATGGTCAAAATTCTTGTCAACAAATGATGAACCTACTTCAGGCTCCTGAGCTACTGAACGGCAGGAACTACTACGCAATGCTAAACTGGGCCTTCCACTATCCATACTCTTATCACTATTGACACCCTCAATATTATTCCAGCTACTAACATCACCAGTGCAAGGCACGGTAGTGTTGCCAAGATGACCGGCATCTGCACTACTGCTACGTTTCACACTGGAGCCACAACCCTCAGAAGAACTAGCAGAACTATTCTGATCTTTTCGACGGAAACCTTCTCTAAGGCGAATCACTGTACTCTGTAGGGCATCTCTTCTTGCCACTGATGGATCTGTAGCAGATAAGTGGCGTGAAACAGCAGCACCTAGGAGCACAGTTGCAACAACTGCATAACTAGTGCAATGTCCTAAATACCTGCAAAAGGAAAGATGCAGCAGAGCAATTAGCAAAATGGCTAGTGCAATACGAGTAAGAAAAAAAAATCTGCCATGGAATCTCAGACAAACCAGTAATGAACTCCAAAACATATCAGGAACACCCTAGACGCGCCAGCAACAAAAAGTGCAACAACACGGTTTTTAAGAAGTTGAAATCCATACAAGCATGCCCCTATGTTCCAGTCTGACAAGACAATTCAAGATAATGGTAAGATACAAAGAGTAATGGTAGAATGGTAAATTTGTTTATTACTGTATGCATTGATCAGAAAAAATAAAAAAGGAGCATGAAGTCAAAGAACTACCAAGTATAATAATGGCAGCTGATGTTATAGCCCCGAGCCAGTGTGATTCCTTTGCAGTCAGGCCATACAAGATGGAATATACAAATAGTACTAGAAGTGAACCCAGATAGAGAAGCCCAAGATGCAAAGCCCTGCAGACTTCATTCAATGAGAAATCAAATTTGACAACATAATTTATTATATATACATTATAGAAGCTTGCAAATAGACATGTAGGAAAGTAAAGAGAAAGCTCTATCAAATGTTTAAGCACAAGTTTGCTATTAGGTAGCATGCAGGACTGGTTCATATACAGGACCACATGAGACATACATATACCAGAACATATGGATTGATAAAGAATAAAACCTTTACAGCAATAGATTACTCATCAAAAACCAAAAGATTTATAAAATAAAATAAACCAACAACAACAACTTATGAGAATTTGGTTTATAGCTTGCCTTCTAGTTTGTCGAGGATACAACTCATTAGGATCAGGAGGTTCTTGTAAGCAAGCAATTGGACCCACTTCAATACAATCAGAATAAGCAAATTTGTATGCCCTCCGCACATATTCATCAACATCTAAGCCATTACCTGTTGTGATTGGTATCAAGAGAATTACTCACTAAATAAGTCAGATGTAAAGGAAAAAGGCAATGGACAATTAGAGCCAAAACAGCAGTTTACTCAAAGGAAAATTTATGTTATTCACTGTACCAAGAAATAGACTAAAAATTAGAAGTCAGTGAGCATCATTAAGGAAACAACACAAAAGCCAAGACATATCATGACAAGAAGAACAACAGTAACTTACCATTAAAGACCATTCTACAAATAAAGAGCATGTTGATGGCTAAGGCAATTGCTGACACACCAAAGAAAAAACCAGAAGGCGAATATCTCTCAGATGCACTAACACCAGCTGTAACATACACGGCACAAAGTTCATATGCACAAAGCAATCCAACAGCCAGCAACAGAAGAACAGCTACAGCTCCTGCCCAACATTCCATACTAATCATTAAGTAATTGAACTATAAGAGGAAACACATTATTAGCAACTTTTATCAAAAGTATACACAAAATTAGTGACCATTTCCCATATCCAAATTAACTTCAGAACAAATACACATCTTACAATTCTCTAGAACCTTACTACGTTGAAGTTGAATTTGAGAAATGTAGCTTTAAGGTCATATTACTATGATGCGACACAATATTTGCATTTTTGTGTGGGATTTTTAAATTACCAATTAAATAAATTTGGTTAAATAAAAATATTTCAGAAATTTCTTCCAGAAATGACACATAAACATTCAGCATGTGTTTCATGAAGTAACATAGATGTAAATGAATTGATCAACAAGGGAAAATCATTAGACAAAAGAACAAAATGAAATTTAAATAAAGTAAATATTAAATCCTTAAAGGGATCATGACTTTGCACTGACTATGCAAAGGAAGATGATACATACTTGAGCTTTGCCATTGCGTTCTCCACCAAAGCATGATTGAGTAGAATGCTAAAAGAAGAGCAATACCAGCCATTATCACAGCTAAACCAATTATGTCCCGTCCCAATATTATGATTAACCAGCTTCCCCAAATAATAAGCACCACGATTGGAGAGATAACAATCAGCCATGCAACAAGGGACATAAAACTACATATAATTCCCAACTGAGGACCTTGCAGCAATTCAGGCCATTTTCTGGCAAAGATCCAACTGAACAGGCAAGAAAGAAAAAAGTGTTAAAACAGGGCTGTACAGTTCGCTCTTAAGAAGTACAGACATACACTGAATCCTATCACACAGGAAACCACATATCATTTACTCATTTTTTACACAATCTTGATTTGGTTGGCTGCTTCATTTCATTTTCCATAAATATGGAACACAAAATTAAATTTTATTCTTGCATATACAAACAAATTTCTATCCATCTGGTTAATATCTGTATCTATACATCTTTCATTGCTATTCATGCTTGTATAGTTGTATTTACTAATTACTATATTATACATTTATCTGACTTTGATAATATTTTGTCTTTCAATTTTGCAACTGTATTAAATACCAATCAGCATGCTTTGAAGTGATAGTTTAACAAACTTGTTAGGATCAAAGAGCAGCTTTGGTGGAGACTTTCTCTCCTCACCTCCCACTTTACCACTTATTGACAGTGGCCATTAATACAGAAAGACAGCCTGTTGGATAGTGCTTACAACTGCTGGCTCATTTGTGGAAGAAATAGAAGCAAACAAGTTCAGAGAATTAGGAAAGTGCTACCTATTGTAGTTTTATACCGTCTGGATGGAAGACTGGTTTTTTGAGAATTATTTTGAATAAGATGATTTTTCTTTTTTTGTTCTTTATTTTTTATATGTAGTAAGGAGTAATGAGAAAGAACTATTGAGTGCTGACAAATGAAGAAGTGCTCCAATACCCATTACTGGAAACAAAGGAGCCATTTCTATATTACACAAGTGATGTCCACTTGTATTCAATAATTGGTGTGTCTATTACTTTGAGATGGGAGGAATCAAAAGCTTTTGATGCCTAAATATGTAGAGAGCTGTAGAGGTGTCATCAAAAGGCATCAAGATTTTCAAAGTAATCAAATAGAAGAAGTGGGTTTATTCCATCTTGCATAAATCCTGTTTGGAATATCTTCTCATAGTATACAAACGGATGACGAGCAAGTGCTTACTACTTTTTGTCATGTTCAACATATACTCTGTAATTCATAATATCCTTGGCATTTATTCTGGAGGCTCTGTATCACTTAGCATTGCATCTTTTCTTGGTCAAACCAGGTCCAACAGAAAACCAGATTCAATTGCAACAAGCCAATAATTTGTGCCAGATATCAGAAGTAATGGATGTAGACTTGTAGACTTCTATTCTCTTTAAATGGTACCCAATTAGGAAACTATTCCAAATGTTGATTTCAATAATTAAGCAAACAAGATCCAATAGTTCTAGATAAATGCATGAATTTTTTTTTTTTAAATGCTACTGCTCTATTACAATGTAGTATATGTATTAAATGCTAAAGCTCGAACTCACAATCTTCCAAATAGAAGTCCAACCCGAGTACCAATAGACCACATAGTCTTGGACTCTTGGTATGGTAAAAATATAATTTCACCCTTCAATTACAGTTACCACATCTAGCACCATCTACTCTTTTTTTCTTTGAGAAGCCTACCACCATCTAAAATTGGTAAGGTAAAAATATAAATAAAATAAAACTATAGGCCTTTTAAAATGGTTTGATATAACACCATTACAATGCAAAGCAATCATAGTTTTATATAATAAAGTAAGGTGTGTCAAAATTTTATGTAAGGTTTTGTAAAATCATTCCTATTGACTACCAAAAATGCTTATGAGTCAAAATTTTATTGGATATAAGAATAAATGTTTAAGTTATTTAAAATTGATTTTATATAATAAAATGAGGTTTTGTAAAAGTATTCTAATTGGCTAATAAGAATACTAATACGTCAAAATTTTACATAAGATTTTGTACAACACACACTCCTTTTAACTACTAATGATGTTTAGGTGTCAAAATTTTATTGGATATTAGAAACAAATGTTAAGTTATTTAAAATTGGTTTTATACTATACAATAAAATAAGGTTTTGTAAATGCAATCCTACTGGTACTAATAATGCTTATGTCTCAAAATTTTAAGTTTTGTAAAAGCATTCGTATTGACTATCTTATGTGTCAAATTTTTATTGGACATAAGGGATAAAAGATAAATGTTAAGTCATTTAAAGGGAAAATCACCGGGTCCCTCAATTGTTTCAACTGTCAATGTAGTCCCTAGTTTTCAATTTCAATCAACTTGATCCTTGAATTGTATAAAATTTCGCCAATTAAACGCTTTCAGGGACCAAATTAACAAAATTTTAAAAATGTAGAAATTTGTAAACAATTAGAGGATCAAATTGGTTGAAATTGAAAACTATGGACTACATTGACAGTTGGGAAACAATTAAGGGACCAGAATGGTGATTAACTCTTATTTAAAACTGGATAGTTTTATTATTTAAAATAATGTCAATGTTGATAATGATGAACTAAAATTTTAAAAATACATAAATAAAAATAATAAGTTATTTATAATCTTGATAATGATAAATAATTATTAAGTTATTCAATTGCTGTTCATATTTATATAGACTTTCTTTATAGATTTAAAAATAATTTTAAGATTTGCTAAAAATTAATTCTAATAATAATTATAATGCGAATGTATAACTAAAAATAAAAATAAAAAACGATATAAGATTCATCATTTCTCCCTAATAACAATAAAAGTTGTACATTAACTATCTAATTTTTTTTACACAAACACTGAACACAATCATCTAACCAAATTTTAATGTTTCAAAACATATAAATGAATTACTTTATTAATTAAAAAATGCATTCTAAGGAACAAAACAACCACTAAACATTAACAAATCCAGACATAATCAAAATACAATCACATTGAATCTCAAACAAATAAATAAATATCATAAACTATATTAAAATACAATAATAATAATAATAGCCTATTAGATTTTACAAAACAACAATACTTAAAATTCTTAAGCAAATCAAACTAAAATCCAAAAAATAAAAAATAAAAAAACTACATATATAAAATATTCATTGATAAAAATAATAATATATAATTCAAGATTGTAAACAAACAACCATTAGAGTGAAACTTGAGATAGGCACTAGTTTGAAAATAAAATAGAAAGATAAAAAACAAGTCACCTATAAATCCGCCATGGTCGCCAGTTGACAGCCCAAAGTATTGCAAAAGAAGCAGAACCCAGCACAGAGAAGAGGATTCCAGGAACCACACATGCCAACATTAGTTCATGTTCATTCCCTTCCATTCTCCTTATTTGTACTATCTCCTTCTCCTCTCTTGACTACATTTGTATACACCAATAATCAATTAAAAATTTACTAAAATGTTCCTAAAAATCTAACCTCTATACTGAAAATAAACCCCCACTGTATATCCATCAAAAATTAAGCGAAACTAAATAAAAGCATTTACAGTACACCTAAAGAAGCCAAAAAGTAAATTAAAAATAAAATGAAATTCCCATCAAGCTCGAATCTTTTTTAATGAAATAAATCCGCCTAAGTTTGAACAAGAAAATAGAACCAATATAACCCAATTTAGTAAATACATTCAGTGCTCAGCTCCATAAATATTCATAGCGATTAAATCAATTGCAGCAGCAATATTATAAAATTAAAAATATATATATTAAAATTCCCATGAAACTCGTATCTTTATTTGAGAAAATAAATCCACGTCGGATTCCCAACACGAAAACTAAAACAATAAAACCCAATTCACCAAATACATTGAATGTTCTACTCCATAAAATTTTGAAAAAAAGGGGAAATCAATTAGCATCCTTTACCTGCTTCGCTGAAAGTGTTCCGAGTTAGGGAGGCGAAAACACAGGCATTTCAAAGCAGATTCCAGCTGAAAGCTAGGCTTTATCAGCAAGTTCCAAAACCATATCCAAGACCAAAGCTAGGGTTTTAATCCAACACTTCCTGTTCCCCCCTCAGCTCCGCAAACAAAAAAAGTTCAAAAATCAAACAGAAATCAAAGAAATTCAACCGCCCTACCTCGAATTCCTCTATCCAGATTCTCTCATTTAGGGTCAAGCAGACAGAGAGAAAGTCAGTGAGTCTTAGAGAGAGAGAGATTAAAACCCTACTGAGTTTTTTTTAGAGAGAGAAGTGCAAGAAAGAAGAGTAAAGGTGCGAGTGTGGATATAAATTTCCTGAAACGTTAGTGGTTGTAAATAATAAAATAACAGCTGGGCATTTGTCTAAACGGATTGGCTGACCTCGGCGCGTGTTCCGCACGCCTCGTGTGAACAGAGATTCTAATTGGAGAGTGGTAGCACGCTCCTGAGGTGAGTGTGGGCGTTATATGAGTTTCAGACAAAACTGGATTTTATGCCCTAAATTAACTTGGGCAAAAAACATGCTCACATTTAGGAAGAATTAATGGAGATCATTAGTCATAATTGTTTCTTTTCTTTTTTTTTTTTTATCAACATCATTATTAAACTATTCAAATTTTTATTAAATAATTTTATTTTATTTATTTGATGAAATTGTATAATATGCTTTATTACAATTATATTAAATAAAAACATACATTCATAACATTTTAAATTTTTCTTTATTTTATTACAGATAGTTTTAATAGCGCCATACAGATTCATATCATACTCTTAAAAATAAAATAATTATACTTGTGCATAATTGCCTCTCACTCTGTGACAACACTCTATTGATTGAATCCGTTACACACAAATTTCTTAAATTAATTTACTTATTATGTGTGATTTGCATGCAACAAGGCATGAGCGAAATTTACCCATTGCGCACATTTAAGTAATGGTTGACTAATTCATAAAGAGTGCCTTCTAAATTAACTAATGACAAAGCTCCACATAAGCATTTCATATAATTTTATAAAAAAAATTATCAATACAGTAAAATCCTTCTAAAATATACATTATAGAAACCTTCTTAAACGATAATACCAAGGTTAAATGGTCTATCTAATATCTATTGACAAATTATTTAATTATTGTGTAATAGTTATATTTGCTTTGTGATAGAAGACATTGAATATAATTAATTTGTGTATCATCGTGATATAAAACTAAAAGTTACAGATACGATCTTTGATTTCAACATTACACTTTTTTATATAATTTATTGATGGATTGGATGTTTAAATTAATAGTTTGTTATGAACTTGATAAAAAGTGATTTTATAGTTAATGGATTGTTTGGTCGAAGTGATGCACAAGTGGTAATCGTTAAAAACTAAACAACGATTTATTTGTTTGAAAAAAAAAAAAAAAGATTATATTATTTATCTTTCTCCATGAGTCCACATATATAACCTCGAATCTTAAAAGTGGTGTAATAATATTTAGTATTTTTTCGAATACATTATTCTCCACTAATTAGTTCATTCCATATTTATGGAATGATTTGTATTTTTTTTTTATCAAGCATGTGTACGGAAAACGAAATCATGTTGTAGTTTGTCCTAATCTTGTTATATAGCAAAGAGATAACTTGAAGAAACTTTGTACGCCCCTAACGGTATACTCCATGTGTTTCATGATGACATATACCAAGCATCCCTAGCTAGAGAAAAAAACACAGCTAAACACTATTAGATCAGTGTTCGGGATGACCCCATTTGATCCCAAAAAAAAAAAAGGTATCCATCCTAATTTTGTGCATTTTGTCTTCTTATTTTTTCTGTTTGTTTGAGTTAATAGGTCCGTTGTCTTTGGTGACAATTTCAAATTTAGTCACAAACTATCATTTTTGCCACTTAACATCCCAAACTATTATTTTTTAGACACTTTTAGTCCTTTTTTTGAGTTTTCCTATTTTAGTAAGGGCATTTTTGTCTTTTCATAATTTTCTTTTGTTATTTTGCAAGTTTCAATCGTTTAAATTGGTTTAGGACTTTAGGTTAATTCCACACCGGTTCTAATTGTTAGGATTCAATTGAAGATTTAATAGTCACTCAACTTCATATGCTTCACCGCTCCTTCACAGGTTCACCAGGCAAAGAACGAGAGTACCGTTATATATTTTATCTCTACAGCGAGGTTAACTTTTTAGGCAAATGATTCTTATACACTCAATGGATGATCCTTCAAAAACTTATTAGGAATACAACGGTATTCCCGTTCTACGTCTGGTGAACTTGTGAAGGAGCGACGAAGTTGAGTGACTAGAGTCTTCAATTGAATCCTAACATTTAGAACCCGCGTGGAATTAATGTAAGGTTATAAATCAATTAAACCGGTTGAAACTTAAAAAATAACAAAAAATAATATGAAGAGACAAAAATGTCCCTATTAAAAATAGGACAAGTCATGAGAAGGACTAAAAGTGTCCAAAAAATGATAGTGTGGAATGCTAAATGACAAAAACGATAATCTATGACTAAATTTGAAATTGCCACTAAAGACAATGGACTTATGGTGGAATTAACTCTTTTTTGTTTTTTCTTCATATACCAAAAACAGTAATTTAATTTGAAATTTGAAATTAGTATAGGATTGCAAACTATTGGACCATCCGACCATGTAATTCTTGAGTCTCTAGTATCCACACCCAAAGTAGGTTGATTGAATGACATAATTCAGTTAACTATATATTTAGTTCAGAAGATAAAATATTAAATTAAACATGTGAAAACAAATGAAATTTGAAAAAAGAAAACGAAGTCTCATTAATTATGTATTTTACCAAATTTTTAAATTATAAAAAATTACAATAACAAAAATTAAAACGGAGTTATATTCTAAAGGGACTTATTTTTTTATATATAAAGTAACACTTGAAATTTTATTACGGGCAATGCATGTGTTTTCATGTCCCAACGTTAGAACATAATTTAAAATTTCTTTTGATGAGGTAAATATTTTACCAATTGAACGAGTTAAATAATTAAAGTGAGATTAGTAAACTAATATATTATAATAAAATGCATTTTAGTTACAAAAAAAATATGAAAGAATTATTTTTAAATAACAATAAAAATGGCTAGGAAAAATAGTGAAAAAAAAATATTCTTTTGCATTTCAAGGAGTACGTGATTGGTCAAGGCAAATATTTTTTTAGGTTAATATATATTACTTATCTATAGGTAGTGAATGATAATTTATGTGGCAAGATTAATTAAAAAACGGACTAAATTAACGAAAAGCAAATAAATTGCTAATTACTCGTTCAATTTGAAATCATAATAACTTATAAATTTGATTAAATAAATATGATATAATGATATTATTGATCAGAAAATAAAAATATACGTGTCAATTTAATATATTAACATTATTAGTTTCCCTCTTAAAATATTAGTGTTGCCGATGATATAATGACTGCAGTCTGCAGGAGGGTATTGTGTCAAGTAAGAATATAATGTACAATATTTAATATTTTAATAAACACCAAGTACATCTCCATTAGCACAAGAAAAATGAACAAAAAATCAATGTTATAGTATGAATTCACGCATATATATGAGTTTTAGGTTATATTTAACTACAATTATATATATATATATATATATATATATATATATATATAATGTTATTACATTACATGTTATAAATTTAATAAAATTCAATAATTCAAAAAAAAATCACATTTGATCTTACGAATATTGTGATGTTATCATATGTAGTCTTAACTTCTAATTTGAGCACAATTAACTCCACCACTTTATTAATATTGTTACATTTTGGTATTTTATTACAATTTATAAAAATATTGTATATGCGCTTCTAGGTTATATACTTATATATGTGATTTTTGTATGTATTTTTAAGGTTAACAGGTTTGTACATTGAGTTTAAAATGTTGTACAACATATTTTACCATGACAAACATGTTAAAACTATTTTAAGGAGCATTCTTTCAAGGTAATATTATAACAATCTAATTATGCATACTATATTTGAGTTAATACCCAAAATCGTCCTCGACTATAGTGGTTTTTCTCAATTTCGTCCTAATCGACTTTGGTGACCTAATACCGTCCCAGACTTTTGTGTTTCGCTCAATTTAGTCCCAGACTTTTGTGTTTTTGCTCAATTTAGTCCCTTATTTGTTATTCTGTCCATTTGGTGTTAAATAAATAGACAATCAGTAATTTTAATATTGGCATTTCTTTACTCATAGACATGTGAATTGCGAAATCCTTTTTTTTTTTTACGAATTACTCCCAGAATTACTTCTAAAACTGCGAATATAAAATTTGATTTGCAGGTCCGGGAGTAATTCTGGACGTAATTCGTACAAGAAAGGGGAATTTTGCACTTCACAAGTTGAAAGTAAAGAGAGATCAATATTGACGTTATTGAATTGTCCCTTTATTTAACACCAATTTGACGGAATAACAAATGGAGGACTAAATTGAGCGAAACACAAAAGTCTGGGACGATATTAGGTCACCAAAGTCGTTTAGGACAAAATTGAGAAAAACCACTATAGTCGAGGACGATTTTGGGTATTAACTCTACTATATTTATTAGTAATTTTATGTCAAAATAATTGGCTCACATATTTAAATTAATTTTCAATTTTTCTCATCATAATTTTATAAACATAAATAATATGGTAATAATTAATTCCATATTCATCAAATAGTATATTTCCCAAAATATAGAATGAAAGGGGTACCCAACAAGCTAGCGTCTGTTCCTACTATTTCCTTTGGTGAAACTCTCACTGTCCTTATCGTCTACCAGCATCTTTATAATTTCACCCGCGGGAGAATCGAGACGTTTCTCTCAAGCAAACTTTGCAATCGCGTCAGCCACCGTATAAATATGATATGTTAAAAATAATTTTGTAAAACTATTTTAATCTTTAAATAATTTGAGCTTATGATTTTGCACTCAATATATCATTACCATAATCCACCATGCGCACTGTAGACCATAGTACAAACAAATTCTATACATGCAATTAATATATTATACACCTTCAATTTATTTATCTATAGTTATCATATTATTAACTTAAAGCAATGTTATCATATGTGCATAATATATGTTAATTGAATATACATAATATATTAATTGTAGTTACATGACATGAACTAGAGCTCAATGCGCATAGATAAACCTATTCCACAATATAATTTGCGATGATTTTGATATTGGGATTAAACTTTCATGCATTATATTGTGTATAAAAAATTACTAATTTTTAAATAAATGTTAGTTTTTAACATACTTTTATAATTTCATAATCTTAACATCCTCTCCTTATTGAAAATCCTAAAAACACTTATAAAAGTTATAATACAAAATAGTTTGATATACATTATTATCCACTAAAAGTTAGTTCTATATGTCATATCATTTATGCTTTTTTTTTTCAAGAATATAATATAAAAAGTATTAATCTATCTAAAAAAAAAAAATAACTTACAACGTTCAATTTCTTCACTATTACTCCGTATAAAACTAATTAAATTCGATTCAAATTACACTTAAATCTTATATAAAAAAAGGACCCCAAGGCAAATAATTGTAACAAAAATCAAATATGAGAACTAAATATTAGTAATAATATAATAATTGTGAAATTAAAAATAATTCTTTTTTCCTGAATAATTCAATAGTATGTATATTTCTAGACCTTTTACAATTAAATATAATTGTTTCAATTCCTTGAGCACGAAAAAGTGTTGCCATTTTCTCGAGACTGTCAATATTAGACGACCAATTTATTTATTCAATGTCTATTATTTTTTTATTTTATTTTCCACTGCTACAATCCAAAGACTATTATAATATCTAAATTAACACAATGGGAAGTTTTGTTGTGCCCCTATTGTTGAAGCTAATTACACAAAAAACCACAACATTTTGCAATGGTCCTCGTGGGGCCCACGGTTGAATGTTTTTTGCCCTCTGTACCCACAAGTAGCCAAATTATAATAGCACCGTTTTGTCACCTTTCATACCATTCGGTGCAACTTCTATATGCCAACATTTTCTTACTTGCAACATTCTTTAATCTTTTGCATTTGTTTTCTTCTAAAAGGTATAAATAAATAAATAATAAAAAGGAAGACAAGTATTCAAATCGTGTCTGCGCTCTAAATGACAAAATAGAAAATTTGATTTTCTTTTTTACTTGTTTTCACCTAAAACAGTGAAAATTCTAAAGAATATAATGTGATGAATAAAAAAAAAATTATTATACATTGATGTGACATGTTGTTATTGATCTATTTTATTGAAGGATCACTAGGAATACCACTTCAGCAAGATCAATTAGTTGGTTAGGGTGTTAAGTTTTTCTGTTGGTTCATGTCACTTGCTCAGTGTTGTAGTTATTGTTGAAGCTCCCTACTGTACATATATACTACTCTGTAGAAATTGCAGCCACTCTTTTTGTTGAATACATGAAGTTTCCTTTTCACTTCACTCCCAAACATTTAGTTTTGTGATATGGTATCAGAGTGCTAAGATGCGTCCATGGCTTGGAACGGAGCGACAATTAGACCACCGACGACTCCACCGGCAGTCGCGACATCGGCCAGTCCAGAACTGGCGAAATCAATTTCAGCCAAAGCAACTTTTGTTTGGAATGACCACTCTGCTAGTCCATTCTTCCTTCATCCAAGTGAGAATCCCTCACTAATTTTGGTCTCGACAGTCCTTGATGGTTGGAATTATCATCATTGGGCCATGGCGATGGAGATGGCGTTGCTATCCAAAAAAAAAAATTAGGGTTCTTCGACGTTACGATCGCAGTGCTGAGCGTAGGAGGCGTGAAGTTTCCATATTAGAAAAGATGTAATAACATGCATGGTGTCCACTTGGATTATGCGGTCAGTTTCTCCAGAGATTGCACAAACAAACCTTTGGTTGGGAACAACTGAGAAAATTTGGAGCACACTAAAAGCTAGGTCCAGTGAGGTAGACATCTTTAGAGATTATGATCTACACGCGGAGATTCACCAGATTAAGCAAGGTGATCTAACTGTAAGTGCCTACTTTGCCAAATTAAAAGTATTATGGGATGAACTTCATGTTATTAGGCCATTACCTACGTGTAAGTGTGAAAATAAATGTGATTGTGGATTGTTAGATACTTTACAACAACACTTGGAGAGTGATAATCTCTCTGTTTTCTTAAGGGGTCTTAATGAAAGTTATGCTCCTGCTCAATCTCAAATAATGATCACAAAACATCTTCATACTGTTGATGTTGCATTCATGATGGTTCAACATCAATAAATGAGGTTTAATAGTGGGGTACTAGGGTTGTAACTTCCTCGATCAGGAGAAATTCAATAAGCATGGAGCATTCTTCTTGCTCAAAGCACCAATAATAGTTCAGGCCTAAAAAGTTTTATTCCAACAAAATAAGAAACTAGTCTGCACTCATTGCGGCTTTACTAGACACACTGTGGATACCCACCTGGATGGAAACCAAGAAACAAGAATGTTGGATCTGTTAACCAAGTGCAATTCACTCCTCTTGAACAGTCTTCCAATGAAAATGTTGGATTTGTTACTTTAAACCAAGATGAATATCAGTTGCTCAAACAATTTTTGCAAAGGGACAATGTGGCTCACTGCTCACCTTTGGATGTGACTGGAGGGGTGACACCTCAGGCTAATTTGATTGCTGCTAAATTTGTTCCTAATCTTCAACTTGAATGTACTCACTCTTAATTTTTCTTCTAAGAACAAAGCAAGTTGGATACTAGATAGTCGGGTCACCCATCATGTTGTCTGCCAACCTAGTATGTTGACAAATGCTAAGAAAGTTCAAGGTATGTTTGTTGAATTACCAAATGGTGATAGTACTGATATTACACATATAGGTTTAATTCATGCTGGCAGTTTGATCTTGCAAAATGTCTTCTGTGTTCCTGCATTCCATTATAATTTGATATATGTCAATGAATTAATTAAGACTTCTAAATACAAGCAATTGTTGTATAGAATTTGTGTATTATACAGGGTCAGGATTGTGGGAGGATGATTGGTTTGGCTAGCTTGTAGAAAGGCTTATATCATCTTGTAAAACTTAGATTCTCTTGTTTTAGTGAGATATGGCATGTTAGGGCTAATGCTTGTAATTCTAGTAGCATTTGGCATGCCAGATTAGGACATTTTTTCTATGGAAAGTTGAAATTGTTGCCTTTGTCAAATGTAGATTTGAGAATAAATAAAGATGGTGTTTGTAATATCTGTCACTTAGCCAAGCAAAAGAGATTGCCCTTTAATGTTAGTTCCACTGTTTCTAGTTCTTGTTTTGATATTGTACATGTTGACATTTGAGAACCATATCGTGTGCACACCATATATGGACACCAATATTTTCTAACCATCGTGGATGACTATAGTAGGGCCACATGGGTATATTTATTGAGAGGAGAGGATGAAGTCAGGACACTTGTTCAAGCCTTTTATGCTTTCACCCTAACACAGTTTGGTAAGGTTGCCAAATGCATCAGAACATATAATGGACATGAATTTAAGATGGACAACTTTTACCAAGAGAAGGGGATCATTCATCAATCAACATGTGTTTACACACCATAGTAAAATGATGTAGTTGAAAGGAAGCATGGGTACATTTTGTCAGTTGCAAGGGCTCTCAAGTTTCAAGCAGGGTTGTTAGATAGTTTATGGGGAGACTGTATATTGCATGCAGTCTACATCATCAATAAATTACCCTCAGCAACCTTACAGAGTCAGATTCTACATTAAATTCTGTTTAATAAGCCACCTCAGTACAATCATTTCAAGGTTTTTGGGTGCTTGGTCTATGTTGTTGTACACTGAGGACACCAAGGAAAATTCTCACCTAAGGCCAGAAGATGTTATTTTCTTGGATACCCTGATGGAGTAAAGAGGTATAAACTTTATGATCTAAAGACTAGGGAGGGGTTCATATCAAGGGATATTGTGTTTTATGAGAACATTTTTCCTTACAAGACAACATATCATCTGAATGATCAAGGGTCATCTCAGGACCTCATCTTACCAAATGACAACAACATTATGGAAGGTAATATTCCCAAAAGGTTTCTCAAAGAGATGAAACAAGGAACAATGATAATTTTATAGTATTAGATAGTTACATATCTAATTATACTCAAGATGATTCTGACATGGCACATTCTGATCTGGCACACTATGATTCTGTTCCAAATTATGTTCCAGTGCAACCTAGAAGATCCAATAGACAAATATCAAGGCATGCATATCTCAGGGACTATAGTTGCACATTACATGCTACCAGAACCTCTCATCATACTCTTTTAGCAATTTTTTCCTATAATATAGTGTATTCTGGTTTAAAAGCCTTTGCCACTAACATCCTTAGCATTCAAGTGCCCAAATCCTACAATGAGGCCATCTAACATGAGTGCTAGAGAGCTGCTATGAAAACAGAGATAGATGCTTTATAAGCTAATCACACATGGGAACTAACCACACTTCCAACCTCCAAGCAACCAATAAGGTGCAAATGGGTTTACAAGGTGAAACACAAGGCTGATGGGATAGTGGAAAGGTGTAAGGTCAGGCTAGTTACAAAATGATACACCCAGACTTGTGGGTTAGACTACATTGACACTTCTAGCCCAGTAGTCAAAGTTACAACTATAAGAACTTTGCTTGTTGTGGCAGCTGCAAAAGGGTGGCAATTGCATCAGCTTGATGTCAACAATGCCTTCTTGAATGGGGATCTTAATGAAGATGTGTATATGAATCTTCCTCCAGGGTTTATTCCTAAGCAGCCTGGGCAAGTTTGCAAGTTGAAGAGGTCCCTTTATGGCTTAAAACAGGCCAACAGACAATGAAATGCTAGATTAACCACTGAATTGTCTAGTATGGGTTTTAAGCAAGCTATATGTGACAAATCCTTGTTTACTAGAGGTTTTGGTGATACTTTCATTGCCCTACTAGTATATGTTGATGATATTGTTTTGGCTAGCAGTGATGGAAGTCAAATTCAGCATATCAAATAACTTAAGATTTGGAGAACTTAAGATTTTTCCTTGGGTTTGAGGTTGCTAGAAATCATACATGCATATTTGTAACAAAGAGAAAATATGCCATGGATCTGTTGCATGATACAAGTTTCCTAGAGAGCAAACCAGTATGGTGCCATATGGTACAAGCTAATAAGCTTTTCAAAGATGAGGGTACAACTTTGGAGGATAATACTCAATACAAGAGATCGGTGGGAAAACTTCTATACCTAACTATCACCAGACCTGACATTTGTTTTGTTGTGCAGCGATTGTCTCAGTTTTTTGATAATCCTACTACTCTTCATTTATAAGCAGCTCACAGAGTACTAAGGTATATTAAGAATTTAAGAGTTATCCTGGGCATGACTTATTTTTCCCTGTAAATTCCAGTTTGAAGATGAGTGGTTTTGCTGATTCAGACTGGGCAACCTGCCCTGACACTAGGAGATTAGTAACTGGGTTTTGTGTATTCTTAGGAGATGCCTTAGTGTCCTGGAAGTCCAAGAAGCAAAGCACCGTTTCTAGGTTATCTTTTGAAGTTGAATATAGAGCTATGGCTCTTGCTGCCTGTGAGATGCAATGACTGCTTTATCTACTTGAAGTTTTGGAAGTTCACTTGGATGATCAGCAAGAGTGCCACTTCAGCAAGATCAGTTAGTTGGTTAGGGTGCTTAGTTTTTCTGTTGGTTCCCGTCACTTGCTCAGTGTTGTAGTTATTGTTGAAGCTCCCTATTGTACATATATACTACCGTCTAAAAACTCCTGCCACACTTTTTATTGAATACATAAAGTTTCCTTTTCACTTCACTCCCAAACATTTAGTTTTGTTATATATTTAAATATAAATATCATGAATTGATTAATAAAAACATGTGTTAATATAGTTTTTTTCTAGGCCTTTTGGTTGGTCTCTCAATGCCCTAATATATACCAGGGTATTCACCGTGCAAACACAAAATATCATGAATCAATGGTTCAAGATCAATAGGAAGGAAAAACCATTACCAAATAATAATTTTTGTTTTATTGTTTTTGTATATAATATAATAATACGTTGTAAATAATCAACACAAAGTTACCAGCCTAGACAGTATAGAGAAAGTTTACAATATTAAAAAGGCATTGTATTCCCCTGAGTTATATATCTATAGCATTTTTTTCCCCTAAATTATTGAAGTGGCTGTTTTCCCCCATGAAATGTTAAATGGACATATTTACCCTTAAACTAAATATTTAATTTATTTTTTTTTCCCAACAAATTATGACCATAATTTGGTTCAAACTAAACAAACACTATAGCAACCAAACCGAAATATTCCAATTACAATTTAGAATCGAAATTCGATATTTAGAGTTTATTAAAATCGTGAACCGGAACGGACTGTTCATGTTCCGAACTGAAAAAATAAAATACATTTATTGTTGAATTTAAACTATTTTAAAATAAAAAATTAAAATTTTAAAATAAAGACGGTTCAAAATCGCGAATCAGATCCGGAACCGCCGGTTCACGGTTCAAGATTCAATTTTTTTGATACATAATTTTAATAAATTGACATTTAAATATTGAGTTCTAGATCTGAATTATAACCGTAAACTATTAATTCGATTGCTTTAGTATCCGGTTCAATTCAAACCGAACCGTGGTCATCCCTACGTATACGCAATAATTTGTTCGAGTAATAAAATAAATAAAATATTTACTTTAAGGGTATAAATGTCAATTTAATATATTAGGGGGAAAAGACACCACTTTTAAAATAATTGAGGGGGCTAATGTGCTTACCTAAATAATTGAGGGGGAAAAAGTACTATAAGTATATAACTCAGGGGTAAAAGGTGTCATTTTCCCAAAAATAAATGTAGAATTCTTGTAAATAGAATTAAAGCTATTTACAGAAAAGGCTACTGCCCATTTCTAGTTGTAACTTGATACTGTGTTTATTTTTAATATATTTAATTTTATTTTTAGATAATATATTTAAAAATAAATCTTTGGTAAACTAAAAATGAACATTTAATTTATTAATAATAAATTTTATGTCTACTGATTGATATAAATATAATGCATATAATTCATCAACTATAATCTTATTAAGATACTCTTAATTGAGTATTGTGATTATTGGCACACTTGTGTGAGACCGCCTCACGGATCTCAATTCGTGAGACGGGTCGGATCTTTGATTAATGGGTCGAGTTTTTGACCTTATTAATCAAAGATCTTATCCGTCTCACAGATTGAGACCCATAAGATAGTCTCACATAAGTTTTTGCATTGACCCAATAGTATAATGATTGATATAAAATATCATGTATATAATTCATCAACTATAATCTTATTAAGATACTCCTAATTGAGTATTGTGATTTTCAACAATTATACTGTGGACCGCGGTCCACAAAGCTTTATGGATCATGGTCCAAAACGACAGATATTATAGTGTATTTAAACTGACACTGTCTCACGTATTATTTTTATTATATTATCAAATGAAACTGCAATTGAATTGAAATGAAACTGTAGTTGTGTTGAAATAAAACTGCAGTGTATATAAAATGAAACTGAATAACAATTTCACATATTTGAGTGTATATTGTCCAACGAAACTGTAGTTATATTACAATGATACTATAGTTGTGTTGAAATGAAACTACAATGCATATTTGATATCTGGATCACAATGCATTGTGGACTGCGGACCACAGTATAATTTGCCTGTGATTTTTGGCCCAATAGAGATTGAAGCCCAATTGAGAATTCCACTCGTTGGGCCCGAAGGTTTAATGTATAAAAGAATTTAAAGTAACACCTCAATAGTTCACTAATTCATGTGTCGTGACAATTGCATTTTTTATTTTTTATCAATTAGGTATCCTAGCTGGCAATGTAAATATCAAATAATATGAAAAATAATGTAAACACAAGAGAGTATGTATGTGTTACAAAGTGATAGTAACTGCACATAAGCAATATTGCACCCCAAATTAATATCCCCTTCATCTGTATTTGATTCAGTTAATGGGATTTAATTGAAATTATTTATAATTAACTTTTGTCTAATATTAACTTTATAATTTGTATATTAAATTTATATATTTAAAAACTACAGTAAAAGTACTAATAAACACAAAAATTCAACCAGGACTATATGGTCTAATGGTACCCGGGTTGGACTTCCATTTGGAAGATTATGAGTTCGGG